CACAGAAGAACCCGCAGAGGATGGTGGCGGTACTCACAATGAAGATGATGGCGGCGGAGAACGGCCTTGTTTCATGGACTTCAAACTTCCAAGGCGGGCCTGCGAGAATATGAGCACAAAATACAACCCCCCCCTTTGAACCCCTTCTTTTTCTTTCTGTTGCGCTTGAGGAATTGAGATGATTTTTGAATTGGTTTCAGGCGGCCGTCGGTAACTGATTTTCCATAGGAGGGTCTGGTAATGAACGAAAGACTCCCGCCTTTTTTTTTACCGGGGAAGAGTGCACTGGAGACACATGCGCCACACAGGCCATGTGCCGTGTCAGTACGGTGTGCGAGTGTGCTGGCTGTCTTGTGCTCTGGTGCATGCTGTGTGCTTGCATGTATGCCATGAACCCCTTTGGTCACTGTTTACACCCCCCGAATCCCCTGGGTGACCCATCACCGAATTGGAAGGTAAGGCCAGATTCTGACTGCTCAAGCCAAGGGCAGTCCTGGCCTGAAGTTTTTTTTTGGGGGATCCTTGCCTCTTTTTGACACGCCCAGTTTTGTCGGGCAGGTCACTCCTGCCCACCCGGCCGGGGCCCAGCACAGTCATTATTTTTTCTCGCAGAGGTTATGTTACCAGAGTGGACCAGGACCACTTGCCTTTATTTTTAATTTGGCAGAGAATTTCAATAAGTTTATTTTTCTGCACAACTTAGTTGTTTTTGTGGATTTTTTTACTCTTTTTTCCTAGGAAGGTTTCCATGACCGGCCGGTCTGGACCGTCCGGTCACCCGGGCGTGATGATGCCCGGGGGGGTCTGACGACTGGGATACCCGGGCGTGGGGAAAAACATTAAAAAAAATAAAAATAAAAAAATTGGCGGTGGGTTTTTTCCACGCTCTCGGAGAGGAGCCCAAATCTAGGCTCATTTCTTTTTTTGAGAGTTGGCTGTCAAGGGGGGGGAAGGGGAGTATAAATGAATTTTAAAGGGGCTAAAGGGGTTTAAAGGGGGGTGCATTAATGTGATTTATTTATTTATTTATTTTTATCTTCAGTTCCGTGAGGAATTCTGATGTGACCCTCAGCCAAAAGTAGTTTGTATTGCAATTCTACACAACATTTTTTTTTTTTCAGATTTTTTGTGGGTTTTTTTTTTTTTTTTTTTTNTTTTTTTTTTTTTTTTTTTTTTTTTTGCGAAGGTGCTGCCCGGCCCCATGCCCGGCCGGTCACCCGGTCGCCAAACCGGGCGTGACGTCGGGACCCGGGCGCCCGGGATATCTCCCTAGCTTTTTTTTGTTTTTTTTTTAACAGGGCCCTTCCATGGCCCTTGCACAACCAGGCCGCCCGGGCAACCAAAGTGACCCGAGCAGCCCAGTTGGAAACGCAGTTCGGAGGCCTCCGAGGGAAGCCTGCATTGGAGTACAACGCAGGTTTGAATGTGCGTAACACATGTTGTATGCATGTGCACAATTTTTTCTTTATGTACGGGGATGAATTTGAGGTAAGAAATTAACGAAAAGTATTCTGAAGAAATTCAAGGACGTGATCTGTTCGGGGTAATAGTTGGGAAAAGTATAAAAGAAGAAAATCTGGATGGCAGAGAACAATTTGGGCATGAAAACTACACACACTTTTCTCCCCGCTCAACTGTTGTCCAAGTAGCTTCTGAGGCAGTGGTGCGTTAACAAGGGCCATTGTTGTGCACTTGTACGGTCCGCTTTGTGGTGTGCCAAACCACTGGTGCGGCGCAGCACCAAGAATTAAAGAAAAAAATGAAAACCACAAACATTCAAAGACAAATGAGAGATCTGTAACTCCGCTCTATTAATTGAAGGAATACAAATTTGGGTTTTGGTGTCTGCGCTCCATGAGTGTGGCACACCAGTGCATTGTATATGGCGCACTGTACGTGTGCATGTGCACACACTTGAAAACGTCAAACCACCAATTCCTTCATGCCGTCAATCAGAGGTGGGTGCCGGTTGCCCACAGCTGCACCCAGTGCCACCCACCTTCCCCGGCCGGCCCACAAGGTGATTGGGTTGGGCGTGGGTGTACCTATTCTTTGTCGGGTGGGTGATAGGCATGTGCAGCTAGTGGGCATTTTTGGGTGATGGGCGGGTCAACATTTGCTCTGGGTCACCCGTCAGGTGGGTGAAGCATTGGCCTGGGTCATCCACCCAGGACCACCCGACAAAAAATCCCTCCCTGTCCCCGCCTCCACCTTGGGTCCTTGGCGCCTTCCACCCCACCCCCCCAGGGCCTTGGGTCCATTTGTGGAGTGCGCAGGCACAAGGTTGAGAAACAAAAGAGGGCCTGGGTACAGTTGCCCAGGGTCGCCTGTTATGTCGGGGCCAAAAAAAAAAAACGTTTGCSCYCCAGCAGTCCAGTCCCYCHCCCGGTTTTTYTTTAAAAAAAACGGGGGGGGGGGGGGGATCCAGCCACAGTAGGCCATCCTCTTTGAACTTTGGCCTTGATTAGCGAACTTGGTGAATTCGAAAGCCCGCCCTCAGCTTACTTGGCCTTACCGCTGCACGGCGCCATGATGGACTAATGCTGGGGGGCGGCGCAAGGTAGAGAGCTGGTGACACTGGTGGAGTTGTGGGGAGGGATGCATCGGTAGGGGTGGATGCGGGCAGCAAAAACCCAGGTCTTAGGTGCGGAGGGGTAATCATGTTCTCACGAGTGCGGGTGGGTGCGGTGAGGACATTCTTCGGGTGGCGGGTCGGTCGGCGGCGGAGCCGAAATTTCAAAAAATATTTTGGGTGGGTGGGGTAGTCTTGAGGTGGAAATCAAAATTATTGGGTCAGGTGGGGGGTACATGAAAAAAAATTGGGCGGGTGAGGGGGGAAAAAAAGCCCGCCTCTGCTGTCAATGGCCTGTGCCAGTATCGAGAGGGTGGCAGGTTGTTTTGTTAGTGGCTATGTCACTGGTGGCGACAAAAAACTGTGACTGCCACTGTGGACAGTCAGGTCGCGATCCAATGGCCTGTGTCAGGTATCGAGAGCGTTGCAGGTGGTTTTGTTAGCGGTTTTATGGCGGTCTGGTGGTGAAGAAAAATTGTGCCCAAGTTCAGTAATTCCAAGGTTAGGCAGAAGGCAACTTCACGGAAGCCAGGGGCAGCCATTGCAGCTCCCAAAAACGATGCAATGGCACATCGACATGGGATGCTGCAGCGTTGTCAGGTCTGACCATTACAGGAGGATAGCACCATGCGCTAGGGGATGCTATGGGATGCCATAGTTTGCCTGCCACTCAGTGTATTCATTCTTACTAGACGGTCAAATGCGTTTGCTTTCGTAGCGAGTTCTTTCTGCTGACCGTTGTCATTGTCAGGCCTGACCATTTCAGGAGGATAAAGCTCCATGCGCTAGGGGATGCCATGGGTGCCATAGTTTTGCCTGCTGCGATAGTTTGCCTGCCACTCAGTGTATTCATTCTTACTAGACGGTCAAATGCGGTTTGCTTTCGTAGCGAGTTCTTTCTGCTGACCGTTGTCATTGTCAGGTCTGACCATTACAGGAGGATAAAGCACCATGCGCTAGGGGATGCCATGGGTGCCGTAGTTTTGCCCGCTGCTCAGTGTATTCATTCTTACTAGACGGTCAAATGCGTTTCCTTTCGTAGCGAGTTCTTTCTGCTGACCATTGACATGTTCGGCACATCACAATGTGAGAGCTTTGACATGTCATGCCATGTGACCGCGTCATTGCGGGCATTGCAATAGTTCTTAGTGATGAAGTGCCAGGAAAGTGTCACGAAACAAGGGGGTTGCAGGTTGATCCGGTGGCAGCTTTGTGGTGGCCTCGAATAAAAGTGGCGACTGCGGACATGGACCATCAGATCACGTTCGCGATGGTAAATATGTACCAAAGTAGGTGCAAGGCATCTGCTTGGGACTTGTGAAACACTTATGGTACCAAACTGATGTCGATGAATGAGAATGGTCTGTCTATCTAGGTTTTTTTGTATGTTTATTCCGTGGGTATCCATAGAGACGGATAAACTGGACAAGTAGGTGATTGGATTTTTCCTTACACGTCTCAGCGAACCGAGGATGGTTAGTGTGAGTGAAGTAGAAAACCTTATCCTTAGTTGTGGTCCTGTTCTGCGGGAGAAATGTCCTTCGAGTAAGAACCTCTCATCCTGGGAATTAGTGGAGATGTTTTCTAAGTTGATTAGTCAAGTTTTGCTGCACATCTGCTGAGAAGCGACTACCTCGGTCGCTTTTTCGAAAGACGACCACATTGGTCGGCCCTTCGGCCCTCTTCTATCCAATGTGTAACTTCACGAGCTTGAGAAATTTGTCATGCGACTGAAGAGCATTGCCGATAGAGGGTCGTCGATAGAGAGGGCAACCGCCGCAGGTTGCGGACAAAAAGGCTCACTGCGAAGATCCGGCGGCGATCGGAGAGCAGCCTTCAAGACGCGCCTTTGGCCGGGGTAGGGCCTCAAACTTTTTCTGGCTTCACACATGGGATTCAACCTAGGATTGAAGCACATGGCAAACTTGCTCTCACTTGTAGGTGTGGAGGCTGAGTTTAGGACTAGTTCAAGCACTCGCACAGCAATATTTATCGCACACAAGTGTAATGTGTTGTGAGCTGTGTTGTCCACTGAAAACTGGTGGAGTGCACAAGCAAGGACGTAGAATTAATTTTTTTTTTTTTTACAAAAATTTAGTGAGTGTGAATTTGGGGTAGCATTGCGGCCAAATTTGATCATAATAAACATCACATCCTTGTTTAAGAGTTCTGAATTTTTTTTTTTCACATTTTCTTGGTGCATGCGCACAACGTGAGGCACATGAATGTGCTGTGTGTGGTGTGCCACACACGCGTATTGCATGCACGCGTATTGCATGCACGTTATGCTCCATAAGTATGTTCGTAGCTTATCTGGCAATACATTGCATAGAGCATGCCTTGCCTGCTTTTGCGCATGGGTGCATTATAGTGTGCACCTGGTGCTGGGCCAACCTGACGTCGGCCCGTGGTGGTTTGTGTTTTACAGAAGGCGAGAAGGGAGTACCTCTCTGGAAAGGGGAAGCTGAATGCGACTCAGCCAGCAAAAGTCCCTGCCCGAAAACCTCCAAAGAATGTTGATTCGACGGTTACTGATGCTTCCCTATCAGGTTTGAAGAAAGAACCATTGAAGAAAGTAAGTGCGATTGTGGATGCTGCTCCTGTGTTAGACAAGCCGAAGATGAAGTTAAAGCGTGCAGATTCGATGGATTCTTTCATCAACGATGATGAATCGAGTGACGATAGTGAATGCATGGAGGGTCAGGAATCTGACGAGGACGAGGACGGTGGACCAAATGATTGTTGTGCAATTTGTGACGATGGTGGCGACCTCGTAAGGTATGTTCACAGCAGATTGACTTGAGCGCCATGCTCCCCTGCGACAAGGACCTCCCACATCTTCAATGGACATCTCTCTGACTGGCTCATGTGGACAAGTTTGTATGTCCAAGCCAGGTTGTGCTCAATACTAGGAATGGAAGTGTGACAAATGTATCATGTGAACAATGAATATGAAGATCTTGCTGTAAAGTCTGCTGTCTATTTTGCTGACACAATGAACATGTTCTAGACATTTTTGGCTTCTTTTGGGCACCGGGTTTGCAAATTCCTTTCCCAAAGTACAGTTGGACAGATGCTGTGGTCCTTGCAGTTATCCATGGGGTGGAGGGGGATTTGTGATGCGGGTCTTGGTGGGAACGGTTTTAACTATGGACTGGTGTGTGCATATTGGAGGAACTATTTGGGGTACATTTTATATGCGGGCTTGCATCGAAAGTTGGGTGAACCCCAAAGTAGTCTCGGTCATACGTTGTTTACTGAGAAGTGGTCTGCACATGCCACAAGTGCCTTTCATGCCCTTATGTGCATATGCTGTAAAGGTAATTTGTTACGGAAGAGCATGCAAAGGATCTTCATGGGTGTCAAATCTCCCAAAAGTGGGCTGGATCGACAGATCATGCACAAGAAGGTCATGGGCGTCAAATCTCCCAAGTGGGCATGAGAGAGTTGGCCAGTGCCATACGCATTCACAAACATGCAACAGAGGCTGGGAGCCCTGGCTTTCAGGGACTTCAGTTGCTTTCCGTTACTTTTGCAGGGAGGTGATTCACTAATGGTGATACAGCAGGATCCACCTGGTTCAGCGGCCATCTCCAGTAAAGGTCTCACATCCTATCTTCTTGGTGGGTACAACGTCAGGCTACCTCATTTTAACTGGACTCTAAATGGGAACCGAGTTCAACATCAGATCGAAGAGTGTGTTCTTTTCTAGACTTGTGTCCACCATTGTTATGGCAGACCCTCTACGGTGCTCCTATTCAGTCTTGAGAATCTGAACCACTCAGACAGAATTGTTGATATCAATCTAGCTTTCCCTGGGCGCCTCGCCCGGGTAGGTACCTCACCCGGGGTACCCCGGGCATGAACAAAATCCTCCCAAATTTAGTTTTTTTTTTTTTTTGGTCTGCTGGGCCTTGCTGCTTTTCCCGTGTGCTGCCCAAATCCGGCCTCATTTTTTATTTTCTGGCATTTTGGTTTGTGTTTGGGGGAGGGTGGGGGGGAGGACAACGGCGGGAGGAAGGAGGGAGGAGGAAGGCAGTTTGCCGTGAGGGAGGAGGGAGGACTACGGTGGGAGGGAGGAGGGAGGACTATGGTGGGAGGGAGGAGGGAGGACTATGGTGGGAGGTACGAGGAGGTAGGAGCAGATCTCTACCGAAGATAGGAGGTAGGAGGAGGTAGGGGCAGAATACAAAGAAGAAAGAAAGTAGAAGAAAAAGAGGACGAAGGTGTCCAAGAAGAACTGTAGAGAGTAAGAAGAGGAGGAAGAAAAACGGAGAAGAAGGGAGGGAGGGAGAGAGCAAGAAGACGAGGAAGAGGAAGATGAGAAGAAGAGGGTGGGGGGGAGAACAACGGCGGGAGGAAGGAGGGAGGAGGAGGGCAGTTTGCTGTGAGGGAGGAGGGAGGACTATGGTGGGAGGGAGGAGGGAGGACTATGACGGGAGGGAGGAGGGAGGACTATGGCGGGAGGTACGGGGAGGTAGGAGCAGATCTCTACCGAAGATAGGAGGTAGGAGGAGGTAGGGACAGCGCAGCTGGAGGTAGTAGATATGAAGAAGAACGAAAAAAAAACTTACCTGAGTTGGCGATGGTGGTGCAGTCTTCATTGGGGGCGAGGAGGGTGGCGCAGCTGCGACAACAACAATGGTGCGGCCGGAAGGGGGGGGCGGGGGGGAGGAAGGCGCTGCTGGAGGTAGTAGATATGAAGAAGAAGAAGAAGAAAAAGAGAAACAAAAAGAAGAAGGAAAAAGAAAACTCAGGCAGTCTTCATTGGGGGCGAGGAGGATGGCGCAGCTCTACAGTAACAACAATGGTGCGGCTGGAAGGCAGCAGGGTGATGACGATGATGGCTCGGCAAGGTGACGGCAGGGTGACGATGACGATGGCACAGACGACCATGGCAGGGCGACAACGACAGCGTGGTCGATAACGGCGGGGAAACGACGAACTTGGGGGGGGGGGGGCGGAGGGCGTCCGTGCGGTAAGTCCTAAGATTCGAATTCAAATCTTGGGACTTCCTCGCTGTCGATCATTGCAGATCGACAGCCCAGCCCCAAACAAGAAAAAACCTACGAAATGGGGCCTACCAGAGCGCGAAAAAAATTGCGGCCCCCATCAACTTTTTTTTCCCCTCTGGGCCTCCAGGCCAGGGCATGGAATTTTTTTTTTGAAGGCGGTTTGGGCCATGGCGCTGTGGGGGCTCGGTTTCCTGGCGGGGGGAGTTGCACGGCGAGGKGCCCCGAGCGCCCTTCCGGGCGACCTGGGGTGGCTGGGCCGCCCGGGCTGGAAAGCTAGATATCAATGGACTTTCATCTTTTCAACCCTAACTTTTGATCAGGAGATGGTCTGTTTTTTCTTGTTGATTCTTAAAAAAAAAAAAAAATTGTATCTAGACATTGGAGGCGAAGATCTGATGGATGTCTCAATTGGGGTCATTTTCTCATTCCTTTTCCTCCTGGTTGCCCTTACGACACAGGTGTGATTTGAGAGATGATCTCAGTATGACCCCTCTTAACCTGCAACATTGGGGTGCACTTTTCTCTAACGTAACAAGTTAACCCCTCGGCCAAACAATTACAAAACCATGCCCATCTTATAGCATTTTCTAGTTCAATGCAGATGAGCAGGTACAGCCATGTTGTTTTCTAGTTCGGCCAAGGCCTGGGTTTCACTTTGTTTCACTTGGCAGTAAATTGATTTTGGGCTTATTGGGGCTCCAGCTTTTGGTTGGTGTCCCTGGGCTCTCTTACCCTGCTAGCATTTGCCAATCTATGCATCTTTGGGGCTCCAGCTTTTGGTTGGTGTCCCTGGGCTCTCTTACCCTGCTAGCATTTGCCAATCTATGCATCTACAGTTGGAAGCAATTTCTGTGCAGTCAACCGTGATATAGCCATGCTGGAAGTTGTGTTGCTGATGCAGAGTGCCAGTGGAGCTTTTCCGCCAAACAACTTGCGTATTTACTCTCTTTTGCAACTGTCTTACCATAACACTGCAGCAGAGTTCATCGTGTGTCATTGGGTTTGTAAAGATTGTCAATTGACTCATGACTAATCTGTCTCGGTATTGATGGTTTATCTGATCTAGGTCGAGGTTAGTGAGGATTATAATTCCGGAGGTTAGGATGTCAATTTGCTGAACTGAGTTGCATAGTGTTTTAGCAGTTAGTGTCAAATAAGAGCACCCGCCCAAGCATTCTTGTGGCTAGATTTTGGCTGGTTAGCTCTCTCATTGTTAAAATCATGTCTCAGTCTGTTCAAGCTCAAGTGCAGGTCATTCAAGTTAGCCTGCAATACTTGGCTATTTGCTCCTTTGTTACAGTCGCATCTTCCGACTGTCATCTGACTATTTCTCAAGGTAACCTGCAACTCATTCAAGTTAGCCCGCAGCCTGCAGTGCCTCTCAAGGCAAGCAGCACACAGCTGAGTATTGCCACGTTGCGAGGGATCCAATGCGGTTCACCCTGTGTTCATTGCCCGCCATCCCTCTCTTTTCTCGGTTCTCTCCCTTGCGTACTGTCACCTTGGCTTGTGGATGCTCAGTTAGGTGACAATGTTACAACCATATTGATAACCTAGTTTCTTCAACCTCTCTCTTTTGTGAATTGTCGTAGTGGAAGGCTATTTGCCGCCCAGGAGTGGCTGGATGGACTGATACAGGGCCCAGCTTCTGCTCGGGTAACCTTGGCAGGGAAGAAAGTGGCCTGAATTTTGTATTTTTTTATTTCTTTTGTGGAGGGCATGGCCGCTCTGCGCTCGTTGACAGCACGCAGAATCCACCCTCAAACTGGGAAACAGTAATTGCCCTTCCTTGGCGGGTGAGGGTTGGGAGGGGTCAGGGCCAGGGGGTACAGTGCCTGCCTGAAGTGCTGCACTGCGTGCAGTGTTGCATGCAGTTATACTGCCCGCAAGCGGGAGACGGAAGGAGGTAGCAGCAGGAGGTTGAAGGAGAATGCGGGAGGGGCGCAAAGAGATGGCAGAAGGACGAAGGAGAATGGAGGGAAAGGGAGGAGAAGATAGCGGGGAGGTGGTGGGAGGGGGAGAAAGATTACGAGAGGAGGGGATGAAAAAGGCAGCCGCATGGCGCGTGGCATCCCCCCCCCACCTCCCCCTTTCTCTTTCTCTCTCTCTCTCTCTCGAAATGGAGAAAATGAAGAGGAAAAGGGGCAGGACGTGGGAAAAAAAGTCGTGGGGAAAAAAGTCGGACTTGTGCCATGAAACGGGCTCACCCAGATTTCGCGAGACTGCAGATCCTAGGGCTTGATCCCTGGACCTACCCGTACCCTTGTACGGCTACCTGTAGACCCTGTGAGCCTCGAACCCACGACCTGTCCCTAAAAAGTCATAGGTTAGTGCTTCTTCATCAGTTGGGTCGTCGGGACTTGAACCGTAGTACTTCCGAATAGTCATCTTAGGAGTCTGTCTATCGGTCTAGCCTAGTTCCTTCAGGCCTGTAGGGGTCAGTCTAACCAGCTAGGAGTTTCTGGAAGCCGTTAGTTGACCTTTCGGGTCTGTAGGGGTCAGTCAGTAAGTCTACCTAGTCTAGTCAGCAAGTTCCAGGTGGGGCTGCACACTTTTGGGCCTAGGACCGGTGGCAGGCCAGACCACCAGCGAAACAGTATAAATAAAGAGGGAGCGCTCAGCCATTCATTCATTCGCCAGTGAGCCATGTGGAAGTGCTGCTGAAGAGACTTGTGCGTTGGAGATCTGCAGGAGCCCGAAGGAGAAGTGGGCAGTAGCCACAGCCGCTAGAGGAGGAGGAAGACGACGGTGGCCATAGCCGCC